GCGAGGTGCTGGCCGATGCGAGAGCGCCCGCGTTCTTCCGGGTGCCCCCGCGTCGCGTCCAGCCCTTGCACGCGCGGACCTTTCGCTGTGCCGGCCGGCGCCTCCGCTTTCCCGCGGATGCCGGATGGAGTGGGAACCTGTTTGCTGTCTTCTGCCCTCCTTCGTCCCCATCAAGCGCCGGCACGGGGAGAACGGGCTGCTACATCGTCCTGGACGTTATGTTGGACATGGCTGAGTGCGAGGGCGTCGTGGACATTTACAACTGCGTGAAGACCCTGTGCTCGCGGAGGATCAACATGATACAGACAGAGGTGAGTGGGGAAGCGGCTCTGCCTCCCCGGACCCTTCTGGCACGACAACACTTCTCCGCGCCACGGTAGCCGGTGGGAAAGACCCAGGAGTAGGCTGGGGCGACGAATGAATTAGTGGCCGAAATGCAAGATAAGGAGGAATAAGAGCTAAATTGCCCGGATGGTTTGAGCCCTTGGAGCACGCATCCCCTCCGGGATGGTTATGGAGTCAGCTGGGGCTGGGAACGTTTCGTGGATTTTTGCTGCCGATGCTGGCAGATGGTGGAGGACTTGCTCCACCGTCCCCCTACCAGGCTTTAAAGCCCTTGCAGCCTAGTGTATCGATCAGCATCACCACCGCTAATGTCCGCATGGAAACCCAGGACCCCGTCCTGCTGCTTTTGCTTTTCAGGGCATTGCAGGGCGGCTTGCTTGGAGCAGGCAGCGCTGCCACAGAGGAGCCTCAGGGGTGTTTTGCTCCCTGCAGGGCGGCAGAAGCAGCCCTGGCCTTGCCCAAAACAGGAGGTGGCCCTGGGCTTTCGTGGGGACCGCGCGGACGTCGCGAGAGGGGCAAAAACCTTCCCTCCTTGCTTTGCCGGCTCAGCCTGTTTGCTTTCCTCCTGCAAAAGGAGCAGTACGTCTTCATTCACGATGCCATCCTGGAAGCCTGCCTGTGCGGGGAGACGAGCATCCCGGCCAGCGAGTTCAAAGCCACCTACAAGGAGATGGTCAGGATAGAGCCGCAGAGCAACTCCTCGCAGCTGCGGGAGGAGTTTCAGGTGAGCGGCGCCCCGGCACGCCGGGCTCCCAACGGCGGGGACGGGGCTGCGCTCGGACCCCCGTTGCAGGCTCTGCCCGCTCCAGGTGGGAAGGGGTGGGCGCTGGAGGCCGCTAAACGGAGCTGCATGTCCCCGCAGACCCTCAACTCGGTGACTCCCCACCTGGACGTGGAGGAGTGCAGCATCGCCCTGCTGCCCCGCAACCGGGAGAAGAACCGCAGCATGGACGTCCTGCCGCCGGACCGATGCCTTCCCTTCCTCATCTCCGTGGACGGAGACAGCAACAACTACATCAACGCGGCCTTAACCGATGTAAGTGCGCTCGGGGCCACAGGGCTGGGGCTCTTTCCTGAGGTGTCGTTGCACCAAAAAGCCTTTTGGGCTCCCTTTGCGCGATAGCCAACTCCCCGGATGGTGTGTGTGTGCGTAAGCAGGTTGGATGGGGAGAGCGAGAGCATCCTCATCGGTGCAAAGGCCGAGTGCCTTGGCTGGGACCGCCCCGAGGGGGGGAACAGGGGCTTGGAGAGGACACGTCGGGGAGCTGGGGTGCAATTTCTCACCCGTTGGGTCGCAGGAGCACACGAGCTGCATTTGGTGGAGTTGTCTTAGGCTGCGGGGAGGCTTTTCAAGGCCAAAACTGGGCTCGGTTTGAATTCCCAGCCTCGTTTCGCACAAACGCACAAAGACGTGGGCACGTGTCATCCTGAACTTGCGTGCGGGGAGTGACCTGTGAATGGCACTGAAGGACAAGGCAGGGGAAGGACTGGCTTAGCTGGGTCCTTCACTCCCTTCTTTTGTGTGGTGACATCTTTCTCGCCCTGAAAGCACTTTTCATCTGCTCTCACCAGACGCACGCGAAGGAAGGTCAGGGCCTTGTCTTCATTTATTTCATAGGGAAACTGGAGCACGATAAAAGGAGAGGAAACTCTCGGGAGAGAATTAGCACCGAGCTTCCCAGCGCCATGCGCCGTGGGCTGAGTTGCCTCTAGCCCCTTCTCGAGGTGCAGCTTGGAGGACGCTGAACTGCTCTCGAAAGCAGCCGTGGTCCCGCGCACACGTCCCCCCGCTCCGCTCAGAAAAGACACCCGTAATGCAAGAGCTGTTTCCAAACTGCCGGTGATTGCAAACCAGAGCAGAGAGGCCGCAGCGGCTGAGAGCTCCCAGCGTGCTGCCGGCGGCGCAAAGCGAAGGGTCGTTTATCACCGAAACCGCTTTCGTCTCCTGAACGGAGCCCGGGTGCTCTGACGGCCCGTTCGCGGGGGCAGCGCGGAGCCCGGGGGGCAGCGCGCGCGCTCCGAGCGGCCTCCCGCCCCCTTCGCCTC